TTTTTTTTTATCAGTATGTGGCCCAGTGCAAGTTCCTCTGTGTGCCTGTTCTCCATCTGTAAAATGAGGATGATGATAGACCTCCTTTGTAGAGTCGTGGTGGTGATCGAAGAGTTAATACTTACACAACCTGGCCAATAGTGTGCATTCTCACAATACCCTGGCTTTTTATAGTACGTGACACGTAGTTTTTCTCAACTCAACATTTATCTTTTAACATTACAGTGCTTTTTAGCCATCAAAATGCTTTATGTGCACAGTAATCAAATCCATCAGTCTTTTTCCCATTTTGATTTCTAGGTTGCGGTCTTACTGGCAAAGACTTCTTTTCAAACAAATTATATAGTTAGGACTTTTGATCTTGCAAGTGACAGAAAAGCAAAGTCAAAATGGCTCGGGAAGACAGACAATGTATACATTCACAGCAGAGGCCAGGCTGGCTTCAGCCCAGGCTCGATATAGCGACTCAGCAACGCCCGCAAGCACCAGGCCACTCTCCTCTCTGCCTTCCATGCTGGCATCATTCTCAGGCTCTCCCTGGTGTGCTGGGCCTTAACTCACATTCACAGCCAGGAGGTGGCATGGACTCATGGGCTAAGTCTTACCCAAGACACTAGACTGAGAAGAGAGATTTCTCAAAGAAAAACTGCAGTTATTATTCCCGAGAAAGGGGGACTGTAGGCTGAGCAAGGAAGAATACGTGCTCACGTATTCCTGACCTTCCAGACTTTCTGTTAGCACTTGTATGATTTATTTTTCTTTCCTCCCTCTCTCCTCCCTCCCTCCCTCCCTCTCCTCCCCCATCTTTTTTTTTTTTTTTTAAACTGTGATTTATCTGAGTGGCTACAATTTTTTTTTTGTTTAAGAAGTGAGGTCAGGGTCCAGCTGGCTATTTCTAAATGACTCAGCAGTTGTTACAACACCACTTACATCTTTTCTCTGCTGATGGGAAGTGCCGGCATCACCACTACAGGCTGCTCCTTTGCAGCAGTATCTAGTTCTGAGCCACTCTGGGGGGAGCTATGTTGGGGGTTCTCACTTTTCTGACAATCTGTTTACTTACTCCCCCCCCCAAATGTTTTACTTGTAGAATAAACAATTAGAGGAAGTGAAAAGAGAAGAGAGAGAATTACTAGAGGCCCAGTCTCTCCCCCTGAGGAACTATTTGATGACCTACGTGATGCCCACTCTCATGCAGGGCCTGAGCGAATGCTGCACGGTCAGGCCAGATGACCCTGTCGATTTTCTGGTAAGAGTTTTTTATTTATTTTTTGCATAGAAGAACTGGGGTGTAGGCCAGAGGTGGATGTGTGGGGGAGAGGATGGGTGAGAGGATTCACCAGAGACAGAGTGGGGAGCAGAACAGGCAGATCTACTGAAATCCACTGCTGAGGGGAGCAGCAGGGAGACAGGAGAGGTCTGCTGCGCCGTGTGGGTCAGCAACCTGGCCGGGCATCAAATTCAGGTCACTACAATGGGGCATAGCAGTGATAGTGCTGAGACTTTAACCACTAGGTCACGAGGGAGGCCCCAGAGATTTTTTGTTTTAAATATCAATTTGAAAATAAGATGTGCCTGAATCTAAACAGCCAGTTAAGATCGAGAGACTGTGTTTGGTTATTTGGGAGACAGCCTCTAATACCTTCACGGTTTGTAATAAGACTTTTATTACTCATTTGTGTGCAAAAGGTTTATGTACTTTTATTTTTTAATTGTAAACACGAGTAGTACACATATATGACTAATAAATATCTCGTATCTTCTAAATTGTTAACTTAGTTTTGTTTTTGTTTTTTTTTTTCTTGTCTTTTTTCCTTCTTTCAATTACAGGCAGAGTATCTCTTCAAGAACAATCCTGAGGTGCAGTGAAACTTTAAAGATCTCGCATCCTACACCTTCACAGAGCTAGACACTATAGGCTGAAAAATTGTTTTAAAAAAGTGCAGTTCAAGTTTTTGGAAAAATCCATTTTTTTTCTTCCTGCAAACAAAGATTTTATTAAGTAGAAATCATTATAAAAAGTTATATGGCAATGGGTGAGTCACTACTTTGTTAAAGCTATATTTGAAAGGTAAATTGGCCTAGCTCATGTGGACAAATATGGTTTAATAGTTCATTCTTACATTAATGTTTATAGTAATTTATAGTATGAAGAGAGCCAGACTATATATTATTCTAATATGTAAGCTAATGAATTTACAAAATCTGTTATGGCCCCAATGCCAAAATTGGAAATGAAAATAAATGTGAATGGTTTATGCTTTGTTGAGTGAGGGTCAGTTGAACATCCTTGGTGTCCAAGGGCTTGCTTTTGAGTTCAGGGTCAGTGAGTAGAGCAAGTTGTAAACCTCTTGATGAAAAAATTTTATCACAAGCTGAGTAATTCTGATATTTGTGATAATTAGAAAGTTGCTGAATATTTTTAACAAACTAATATAGGTGTAAGCAATCAATCCCTATGGTCTTTGCTGGCTCTAAAGATTCCTTTAATTCCCAGAATAATAGTAATTGTTGAATTAGTTTAGTTTTATTTTAACTGCACATATCTTTCATTCCTTTAAATAATGTAATCTGAACATAACTATACTGTTTATACATAACATACATAACAATAAAATGTGCACAACATAAATTCTAACCATTTTAAGATGCACAAGCCAGTGACACTAAGCACATTCACCAAATAACACATCCGCTTTTCCCCACTATCTAGCTCCAAAACTTTTTCACTATCCCAGATGGAAATTCTGTAGCCACTAAGTAGTCACTCCTCCTCATCTCCTCCCTCATGCTCCTAACAACCACTATTTTGCTTTCTAGCTCTATGGATTTGTCTATTTTGGATAGTTCATATAAATGGAATCATACAAAATGTGGCCTTTTGTATTTGAATTCTTTCAGTTAGCATGTTTTCAAAGTTCATCCACATTGTGGCATGTATATTATCAGTACTTCATTCTTTTTAACGGCTGAATAATATTCCATTGTAGGGATACAATAACACTTTTGTTTAATTATCCCTTCGATGGTAGACAGTTGGGTGATTTCTACCTCTGGTACTGTGATAGCGCTATTATGAATATTCATATACAAATTCTTGTTTTGAATACCTGTTGTCAGTTCTGTTGAGTAGATACTTAGGAGTAGAATTGTGTAGTTACAAAAGGAATACCTCTTGTCATAAGGTAATTTTGTGTTAACTTATTGAGGAAGTGCCAAACCATTTTCCATAGCAGCTATACCATTTCACATTCCTGCCAGCAATGTCTGAGAATTCCATTTTCTCTGCATCTTTCCCAGCAATTGATAGGTTCTTGCTCTGACAAGTCAAAATAATAAAACTTACAGGATAGAATATAACATAAGAGGGCTTCTTCTTAAGGGTGGACAAAGACTTCTGAAGACAATATTAAAAGAGTGGTAATTCTTTCATACCAATATGTGCCAGGTCCTGTCTTGTGCTTTGGGTTTAGAATAGTCTGAATAGCAGGTACAGTCAGGTCCCTACCTTCATGGAGTTTGGATTTTGTGAAGATGACAGAAAATATTAATAATTAAAAAAATTAACAAGAGGGCTCTATGTAATGAAGACTATAATGCAAATGAGCAGTTTCAATAAGGTGATCTGAAAAGGCATTTGAGCTTTGATAGACTGAGCATACGCCAGTTATAGGGAGAACTCGGGGGCACTCTGATGGGGATGAGGACAGAGGCACTCAGACAGAGAGAGGTTTAGTGTATTTAAGAAAAAGACTAGAGACCAGTGGTGTTGAAGCAGGACCAGGAAAGGGGAAGAGTTGGAGAAGGCGCTGGAGAGAAAATCAGAAGCCAGATCATGCAGGGTCTTACAAGGCTTTAGACTTCAGAACGATGGGAAACTATTAAGTTGGGTTTAATGCAGGGGACTGATAAAATCAGAAATATGTTTTAAAAGTACAGATTCAACAAAGCAAAATACCTGTGAAACCCTAATTGGTTCTCATTGCTCATGCTCCAAGCCTGAACCACAAAGATGGTTCAGTCCAAGCCTGAACCACAAGATTGTCTCCACAAAGGAAGCTTTTTATTGGTGAGTGGCCCCATGTCAGGAGGACAGGAGAGTCAGGACTCGGGAAGATCTGCTCCCTGGAGTGGCAAGTGAAGGAAGCTTATATAGGAAAGAAAGGGATGTGAGAACATGCAGGCATGGGGAAGAGTTTCTTCATTCTCAGGTCCAGGATGGGGGCTGGGTGCTGGGCAGTCTAGCGTAGCTGATCACAAGACTATTGGTATTTCAGGAATAGCTGCTGCTCTCTTTTGTGTTACCAGTTAAAAAGGCCCTCTGGTATTGTCAGGCACCAATGCTATCAGCTTCAGGAAGGAACAGAAATACCTGTTCATGGCCCGGAGGAAGGCAGTACAGTGGCTTCCACCACAGGGGTCATCTTCCCCGTTCAGGCCAACCACAAATTAATAAAGAAAGTGAGGGTTCTGAGGTTAAGTGGAAGAGGAAAGGAAGAAAGGGATGAGGAGACATAAAGGATGGCGACAGGGAGAAAGAAGAAAAGCGGACATCAGGATACCCAGCTATCGGCAGGTCTAGAAGGGGGCAGATCTCAGTCTCTGAACACCAGCTCTGAATTCTCACACTGCTTTCATGAAAGTTGAAGTCAGAACAGAGTACAGAATAACCAGTTTCTTGCCTAAATTTCTCTTCACCCCCCCCACACTGTACACATTGAGTACCCGCAGAATGCCAGGCACTCCCTTCTCTGGTGATCAAGACAAACAAGCCCCGTGCTTTCAAAGATTTACATTCTTGTGGGGAAGATGAGGACAGGGGCCGGAGAAGGATCAGATGATAAAAATAAAATGGAAGTCCAGCTGCTCTGTGGTGAGAGGACCGGACAGCAGGATGATGAAAGCAGGGGAGGAGCAGCTAAAGAAGACAAGGTGAGGATGGGGGTGGTGGCAGTAGAGATGGCAAGAAGAGGCTGGATTTCATGGAGTTTGGAGGTGGAATCAATGGAATGTGGTGATGGATCGGATATGGGTAGTGAGGGAGAGGATGGCATAAAGGATACTCAGCTTCTTGTTTTGGCGAGTCTGGAAGATGACAGTGGGGTTGACGTAGAGACAGAAACCAGAGATGGCACAGGTTTCGGGGCAGTTCTAACCAACATGTTATTGTGCTGCTTTCTTTCATGCGAACGGTAGAAGACACATTCTTCAAAACAAACTAATGAGCATCTAAAAGGGAATGAGAATTCAATGAAAAGATGGGAGCACAGTACTCATTAGTTGAAAGTGTTTATTAATTTTACTTATTAATTTTACTTTAATGACTCATAAATGTGATTGTTGATTACAATCCACCATTAGTAGCCAAATGAATCACTGTAGTTGATGATTGGCAAGAAAATCTCCATATCACCAGTATCAGTTTAGAAATTCCTCCCACTGCTTAGGACTTTGTTGTGTGGAAAATGTTGAGTGAATGCTACCAAGAGACCAGTAGAAACATCTGCCCCTTTCCCAGCAATTGGTAGAAAGCAAGCAGGCGCTGGGGTAGGGTGCAGTGAAGAGGCAGCAGCTGGAGGCTTATTTTTGAGGACAAGCCAGGCCAGAATAACAACACAGATATTGTCTTACCAATACAGCAAGATACTGTCTTACTAATACACTGGTAATTGGCTTTATCTCATTCTCCATTTCCCTTGGCTCGGAAGGGTTCCTAAATGTTGGGGATATGCGGATATCTAGGTCCTTACCCATTTGTCAAATGTGAGTTGGATTAGATTGTAGTGTCTGGGGGGATATATCTGTATATATCTAAAGGCCCTTCCGGGACTGGAACCTGATCTCAAGACACGATTCTTGCTTCCAGAGTTGATAATCTCTGTCTCCAGGCCAGATTTTTCTTCTCAGTTCCTGAAACATAGTTTTCATTGCTGACAGACATTTCTGAAGGACCCACAGCTACTTGAAAATCAGCCTGTGTCACACTCCCCTCAAGATTCCATCCACTCACCCAGCCGGTTGTCTGTTTCCTATTTCATTTACATTTCAGCTCCATCCATTCTGTCACCCTCCCTGGAATCTTGGGAATCAACTTGGTCTTCTTCTACGCCATCACATCTTGCGTCCAGGATTAACTGCATCCCCTAAATCTCAGATCTGCTCCTTTATTTCAAGTTTCTTCATCTCCTACCCGATTACAGCAAGTGCCACCTCACCCATTCTCCAGCTTCAAAACCTCTCCCTATGCAAACTTATTCCCTCCCCTTTGAGTGATAATTCCAAAAATATGAATGTCATTTCATTTGTTTTAAAGCTTTCAATAGTTTCCCCCATTCATAAAGATAAAATCCAAATCTCTCTTAACGCTTTCAGGTCAGCTCCTCTGAGAGGCCTGGAATGACACCCTATCTATTGTTTCCCCCCCATAATTCTATCACTTATTTTATTCATTTTTTTTTGTAATCCCCTTGTCTATTTATGGGTTTATTACTTGCCTCCCTCCTACCCTCTTAAATGTTGTATTTAAGTAGGTCAGGGATCTTGACTGTAGTGTTTTTTTTTTTTTTTTGAGGATCAATGTTCATATTTTATTTTGTTCATGTGACAAGAGAGTAACCTTGTTATTCAGGATACATTATATTAAATTAAGAAGAATTTAGCATTCCCTGAATCCATATTTGGCACTTTGAGGAACTTCCTTTAATATACCAAGTCCCAATGCATTCTTTTACAGACAAAAAAAGGAAACATACCTATATACAAGTGAGTTGAAAAAACTGGAGGATTTTGGGGGAAAAATAGTCCCATCGAATAAGCAGCATTTGTCTGTATTTTTCACAGAGGGAAGTAACCCCCCTTAGAGCATCGATATCGATGTGGTCTGGCACGTGTGCAGTTACACTTTAGTGAAACCCCTCATGATTGGCTTCTCACTTGGACGTTCCAGCTTCGTTTCCACAACTCTTCACCATCTACCTTGTGGTCATGACTTCAAAAATCTCCCTTTCTTCAAATAAACTTTAAATCCTTTGCAGTATTCTTTCCCTTTTTACTGTTCCCTTGACCAGACATGCTTTTTCCATCCAGCTACTTACTAATCCTAACATTTTATCACCTCCTACATGAAGTCTACTTGGCTCCACCTGCAGGAATAGATCTTTCTAAAAGTCTTCAGCTGGTAGCACGATACCTCAGTTGTGCTATCTTGTCCCTCTTTGGAAGGGTGAATCAAAAAGTTATGGGGCAACTACAGGCAGAAAGCTTAGAGATTAAGGACCCTCTCTTCTTTCACTGCCTTCTGAGATGTCAGGCTCTGAGTTCCCCTTCTTTAATGCAGAAAGGACATCAGTGCTGATCTTTGAGTCATTTTTAAGACCACAGCCAATATTTTATCATTTTTTCTGGATCTCATATTTTCAAGCTTTTTTTTTTTTTTAAGATTTATTTATTTTTATATAAGAACTGGGGTACAGGCCAAATGCTCGGGAGGGTGAGAGGATTCACCAGAGAGAGAGCGGGGAACAGAACAGGCAGACTGACGAAATGCTGAGGGAAGCAGCAGGCGAGACAGGAGAGGTCTGCGGCACCATGTGGGATTCTCTTCGGTCAGCCAGGATCGAACCCGCGCTGCAGAGGCTGCGGACAGCTTCACAGTGCAGCACTCAAAACGCCTGCGCCACCAGGGAGACCCAGATTTTCAAGCTTTTAAGGACAGGTCTGCTACTGACACCTTCACCCCAACCTGGATGACAAGTGGGTAAAGGAATAAGCAGAAGAATTGAGATTCCATGCAAGTCTGTCTCCAGCTCAGTGCTATTGAATGGAAATGAGGGCCACATGTATTATTGAAAACTTTCCAGGCCTCCCTGGTGGCGCAAAGGGCTGAGCGCAGTGCTGTGATGCTGTCTGCAGCCCTGCAGCATGAGTTCGATCCCTGCCCGGCCAGGGAGCTGCCCACATGGCTTGCAGGCTGCTCCCCTCAGCAGTGTGCTTCGGTCTATCTGCCTGTTCTGTTCCCCACTGTCTCTGCTGAATCCTCTTACCTCCCACATCTCTGGCTTGTACCCCAGTTCTTGTATGCATAAATGAATAAATGTTTAGGAAAAAAATAAAAATTTGCAGTAGCCACATATTAAAAATTAAAAACAGGTGAGGTTAACTACCACTCCCCCACTATAACCTCCCTCTATCCCCTTGTCGCTTTCCCTCCCTGCCCCTTTAACCTCACATCCCTCAGGATGGTTATTGATGTTCACTGGCTTTTGAGTATCACGTTATCAAATTATCTGCTATATAAATATCTAGTATTTAACATTCCTTGTTATGCATAATTCGCTCAAATGCCCTGCACTTGTTGAAAATGTTTGCATTTCCACCTTTTTTTTTATTACTATTTAAATTTTTTTATATTCTCCTTAACAATTACAACTCCCTTTTTTGACCACAAGCCCTCTTTTCCCTGTCCCTCACCCCCCATAGAGTGTCTCTGGTTCATAGTTGTTTGCTGATTTTGATATTTTCTTTCTTATCGTTATTCTTTTTCCTGGTCCCTTATTTAAGTTTTCTAGATTCCTGCTATGAGTGAGACCATCCGGTATTTTTCTTTTTCTTTCTGGCTTATTTCGCTGAGCATGATCCCTTCCAGCTCCATCCATGTTGCTGCAAATTGCATGTGTTTATTATCTTTTTTGAATGCTGAGTAATATTCCATGGTGTATATGGACCACATCTTCTTGATCCAGTCACCTATTTTTGGGCATTTGGGTTGTTTCCAAAGCTGAGCTATTGTAAATAGTGCTGCTATAAACATAGGGGTGCAGGTGCCCTTTGGAATTGATGTTTCTGGGTCCTTTGGGTAAATACCTAGGAGTGGTGCATTTCCACCTTTCTTACGGCTTTAGAATACTGCACGGTGTGGCTACACCACATTTTCTTGGTCCAACCAACTGTCCGTAAACATTTAAGCTGCTTCCCTGTCCATGAAATTAATTTACTTACATTGGCTATAACGCAATTTAGCCAAAACCCTACTTTGACATGTAATCAACACAGCTCCTCGGAGGGGCAGTTATTTTGCACTTACAGCTCATGTTAACTGCAGGAGCTTCCAGGGCTCCCCCCACGTGGTAATCTAGAGTTCTGGACGCACGAGATTAGCTCCTGTGCTCTCCCCACCGAGCACCCCAGTCCCGCTAAACGTTCTGTGAAAAGAGGGAAATCCGTGGTCAAGTTTCCTGAGTTTCACAAGCGCCTGTTACCGCGTCCCGACTAGCTTTCCGGTGCGGGTCCTCCCGGCCTCTCCCCTCTGCTGAGCCTTCCTTGTGACGCTTCAGAACGCGACCCAGAGCCCGGGGCGCCCCGGTTCCGCCTGTCCCAGACCCTGGCAAAATCTTGCTGGGGGTGGGGAGCTCATCTCCCAGGTCCCTCCCGCACCCCCGGATCGACTGGGGTGCAAAACGGCCTCAGGGGAACGTGTGACGCTCCCGTGCCGCCGTCCGAGCGTCCGGCGCGGGGCAGGGCCACCCCGGCTCCCGGGCCCGCGTGTCGGGCCGTCGCCTCAGCTCGCGCTCCGGAACCGGGCGGCGTCGCGGCCGGTCCTGCCCGCGTTCACCCGCAAGCAGGGCCGCGCGGCCAGGAAGGGGGCCACGACGCCTGCAGGGCCCCGCAGCCCGCCCCGGGGAGCGGCGCTGCTCGCGCGGGCGGACGAGGAGGCCGAGGCGGGAGCGCGGGCCGCACGCCACGCCAGCGCCGGCCTCGCTCGGGCCTGCGCGGGTCCCTCCCGGCGTCCCCGCCCACGCCGACCCGGCGGAGCGCGGCCGCGCAACCCCCGACGCGCCGGAAGCGGCGCCTCACGCGCTCCGGGCACTCCCGGCCCTGCCTCCCGCCGTCTGGGCCGCCCGGGCCGGCGGACGAGCGCCGCGCCCCCGCCCGAGGGCTACCGGCCGACCTTCCCCCAGGCGCCCCGCCCCCGGCAGCCCCCGCGGAAGCGCGACCGGCCGGGGGCGGAAATCGCCTGAGCGCCGGCCGGCCGCCGAACTACCCTTCCCGTGAGGCTTCGCGGCGCCGGGCCCCTGGCGCGCAGGCGCGCGCACAGCGTGCGCGGCGGCGTCAGCGGTTCTAGAACGTTGCTGTGGTAGCGCTCGGGCGCCATGTTAGGACGAAGGGGAAGGAGGAGAAGCGCTTAAAGCGGCGGGAGCGGGCGCGGGAGTGGGGTTGGACCCAGGGCTGAGGCAGGCCCCCCCCTCCCTCCCGCCTCAGTGGATCATGCCCAGGGCGGCAGCGGCGGCGGTTGCGGGGGGAAGTGACTGGGCGGTGCCGGCGCAGGAGACGATGCCGTTGTAAGTGACTGGGGTTCTGTCTGCTCGCACGCCGGCGGGGCCGCGGGGCGTCGGGGGAGGGGAGGGGGGCGCGAGCCGGGCCCCGCCGCGGGGCTGCCGGGGGGGCCGGCGCCCCCTGCTTCGCGCCCCGTCGCCGCCGCGCTTGCCCGCGCGCTCGCCGCCCCGAGCCCCCTCCCGGCCTCTGCCGCCGCCGGGCCGGGGCCTTCCCCTTCCGGAAGAGCCGGGGGGCCGCTCGCCCCGCGGCTCCCGCGCCCCCGGCCGGCCCGCGGGAGGAGGCCCGGAGGCGGCGCGGCGGGCGGGCCCGGCTCCTCGCGCCAGGGCCGCGGCTGGGGTCGCCGCCCTCCCGCCGCCGCCGCCTCTTCCCGGGCCCCGCGCCGCCCCGAGCTGCCCAGGCCGGGCTTCGGGTTCGCCCCTTCCGCGTCCGAGCTGGCGCGACGCTCGTTCAAAACCCCCCGTTTGTGACCGTCGAGCCCCGCTCCGGGGACCCCCGGCCCGAGAAGGGGCGCGCTGCAGGCTGCCCTCCCGCTCGCGCGCCCCGCGCCGGCTGTGCCGGGCCCCCGCGGCGCTCGCGCCCCACGCGTCTCCGGGTGCGCCCCGTTCTTTTGTTTTTGGCCGTGGACTCGAAGTTGGTCTGTTTGTGCCTTCTGGGCTCGCGGGGCCTGGGTCGTACTTTCTCGGGTATTAAAAAAGTTTTTCCCTCCCTTAAAGAACGGGATGTAATTTGAGAACTCGTCGTGGGGCGGGGAGCGGGGGAGGTGGCAGCCCCCCCCCCCCGGGGCGCTGCCTGGCGGGGCCCGAGGCGCGAGACCGCGTTCCTCAGTGTAGGAGGTGCCCGTGTGCCAGTGCCCCTTTGAGACGAGGGGCACGGTTTTTTATTCATCTTTGTGGTCCCCAAACGAAGCATGTGATTGACTCTGGAAGTTTCACTTAAGGGGGGGGGAGTTGATAGTGTTTTGATTTCTGGACACCTAATGTGTAACAGCACCGCAAGTTTTAGTTTTTAAACTAAGGACACTTTTTTTTTTTTCTTGCAAATATGGTTATTTTACGATTTTAAAATGCGTGCGTGCAGGCGAGGTTGTAACACAGGCTTTAAAAATATCTCTTGCGTTTTACAGTAAGAAGGAATTTCCTGCTCCTTCCTTTTCATTCACTCCTGACATTTTAGAGACCTTCTGAACATGTTTCTTCTCTAATGAGAATATTTGTTTTTATTAAATATGCAGGTCCAACACTTGAGAATCTGCACGATATCTGTTAATTGATTCAGAGAAGGGTCCAAAGACGCTGGGAGAACTTACGTCTCAGCAAGATGTTTGTGCCATTTTTCATTTTAGCAGCAATTAAGATAAACCTTAATGTTTGCAGTGATGCCATGTGACTTCTTTGTCAGCGCATATTTTATTGCTGTTTTTGAAAATGCTTTTTCTCACAATGTCAGTTTTAAAAATTGATCCTCCATAGGAAATACGTGCTTTAAAAGACTTTAATGAAGTCGTAACTTAATAATTTGTGTCTTTCTAGGGATTAAAAGTACTTTTATACCTACTTTTCTCCAGCATTCTTTGCAGAAGGGAGCTATACATGTCCATGAAAGATCTAAGTGCTTCAGTTCTTTGGAAGTTAGTTGGAATGTATAAAATGGAAGACAGTCAAGACTGCACATCACCCACAGATACCGCCTTTGCAGTGTGTTTCTTGAAATGTGAACAATATGGCCAGTTTTTCATTCGCTGTCTCTCTTTTTACCTCTAAAGGCATTATAATCCTTTAGTAAACAGCATGGTGACCAAAGGTTACCTACTTAAATGGGCCTTTTTCCTCATTAATTTCCTTCCTTTGTTTTTCATATTCTGGTGTCACACTCATTTATTTTGTTTCTTTGGTGTTTTGAGTTATTTCCAGACTATATTGTATTTGACTTCCACTTCATTGCTCGTGTGCCTGTCCTGTTAAGTTTGGTGAGGTGGGGGGTAAGGCATAGACCATAGGTCAATTAGTTAGACTGGATTAAACCACAACAGATTATTGAGGTTTACGGTCATTACAAAACATTGTGGACGGTGTCCATATTTTGTTTAAAGATCATGTAATCGTATGAATAATACTGAAAGACTGATGTGATTTAGGAGCCATGGTGACGAAGCTCCCCAAAATTTTGATAGTCTCAGGATCCATTAACTCAGAGTTTTTTTGTGTATGTACTTTAGAGATACCGAGCTAGATAATTCCTTGCAGGGGGCTGTCCAGTGTATTGAAAAGTGTTTAACAGCATCCCTGGCCGCTACCTACTAGAGTTCAAGTCTTTCCTCCCCACCCCCTTTCTCATATGGTGATGACACCCAGAAATGTCTCCAGATTTTCCCAGATGTACCTGGGGTCAAACCTCCTTGTTGAGAACCACTGCATTACTTCTGCGTATGTGCCTTTAGGGAAACTAGATTCTAATTTTCCCTTTACTGTACTAGTCTCATAATTTGTGTCAGTGTAGTTTTAACTATTATGCTTACGTAAAAAAACTTTAAGACGCGTAACGAGTATCAGTGACCTGGCATTCATGCCACATTCATAGACTTGTTGCAGCTATTGGAAGAGAGATTTAGAGCATGACTTGGGGGAAAACAGTGACTTCTAAATATTTGTCAGCTTGCCACAAACGAGGGAATTGGAGTATTTTCGTGTATTCATAGCAGGTAGAACTGGGACCTGTTAGTAGGTAGTAATAACCATGTAACATGGTTCATGGAGTGAGATTTTGTCCAAGTCTTGTGTGTGGGGTTGGGGGGGAAAGGAAGGAGTTCCGTGTGATCCTTTCAGGGGTTAAATAGCTAAAATCATACTTTTACATAATAATGGCACTGAAGTGATATTATTTTTTTACTCTGGACATTTTCACCTGTGGTGCAGAAGCAGTGGTGGGCTGTAGTGCTGCCTGTGCCATAGGAAGAGTCAAGGAAGAGGCGCCCCTGTTGCAGGGAGTCACCGTGTTCTCTCTCACACCAGCCCTTGATGAAGCAGTACCAAAAAAGTGCTAATTTCATTAAGTTGACCCTTGAGTTTCTTAAATAAGCTGTGAGACTATGAGGTGGAAGTTGTGCATAACACTATACTAAAGATACGGTGTTTTCTTTCTTTCTTTTTTTTTTTTTTGAGAAGAACACATGTACGTGTATTTGATTTGTGAGCTAAACTAGTGCTTTACTCCGGAACTCTACTTGACCTGAAAGAACAAGTGATGAGCTGTGGGCATTCATGCTTGACTAGTGAGGCTGTCACTCTAGAGATCATGGTGGTGGTAGTGGGCCCGGATAAAATTTGAGCCTTCAAGCAAAAATTCAAATTTTGGAAAGCTTGCTTCTGCCATTCTGAGCTTGACAGCTTCTCAATAAGAATGTTTCTGGTTAGATTAGTGGTGATAGTTAATAAATATAAGATTTTTTTGACGTTGTGGGATAACATGTCAACATTTGGAAGATGTACATAATTCAGTGAAGCCACATTTTTCAAGCCACCAATCATGATGTAATAAAATCTTACATGGGTAAAAGGCACATTCGAAGTAGCCAGTGACTTTCAGTGCAACATAGTACATAGGGTTCACTGATGAAGGTTTCAGCTTTCACACTGTAGCTCCTCATTAAGAAATTAACCACTTCTGGAGTTTTGATAGTGTCATAGGAGAATATTCAGTTATTTGAAAATGTAGACTTAACTAATAATGGCGTGATGCTGCATTTTCTTCCTGTGTATCTACCAAAACAATTTATGGAAAGGGATTGAATGTAGGAGCAGATTCAGGTATCTTGCTGTGTATGATTTAAAGAGAATTGCAAAAAAGTAAAACATTGTCATTCTTACTAATTTTTGTTTTGGAAAGCATTTTATAAAAGTGATTAATATCTTGTTAAGTGAATAAATATTTACAATAATTTCCCATGTGGGAAATATTGCCGCCCTCCCCCCCCCCAACTCCTTGGCATCTTTGATAAATTTTAAGAGTTATAAAAAGATCCTAAGGCCAAAAAGGTAGAGAGCTTTTTTAGGACTGCTCTGGTATAATAGCTAACAGCTGCCCCTCACACTGCTGTTTCCAGTGCTTGTGCCAGTGCAGTAAGGTGGTTTCTGAGCACAGTCTGCAGGAGTGGATGCACATTATTTTCAGACATTTTTTGTTTCTTGTGAAAAACAATGTGTTAGTTGGCCTTAAAGGAAAATAACTTCTGAGAGGTTTTGATTTGAAGATTTTAGACCTTAAGAGATTTTGTAGTGAATTGTTTGATGCTTAGTAAATGTCAGTTATAGATTTGAAATGTAGGGGCCTCCCCGGTGGCGCAGCGGTTGAGCGCTGGGCTGCGAGGCTGCCCGCGGCCTCTCCGGCGCCGGTTCGATCCCCGGCTGCTCCCCGGCCACCGGAGGAGGGTCCCACAATGGCGCGCAGACCTCTCCTGCCGCCCGCTGCTTCCCTCAGCAGTGTGCTTCGGTCCTTCTGCCTGCTCTGCTCCCCGCTCTGGCTCTGGTGAGTTCTCTCACCCTCCCGCGCTTCTGACTGTACCCAGTGCATGTATAAACAAAAACAAACAAACAAATAAATGAATAAATAAATAAAACATGCCTCTATTTAAAAAAAAAATAGATTTGAAATGTATTTTGTCTTAAGACTGTTTTTAGTTTGTGCCTTTATTTATTTTGTAAAGATTTATTTATTTATGCATACATGCACCGGGGTACAGGCCAGAGGTGTGGGGGTGAGAGGATTCACCAGAGAAGGTGGGGAACAAAACAGGTAGACCGACTGAAACACAATGTTGAAGGGAGCAGTGGGCAAGGCAGGAGAGGTCTGCTGCACCTTGTGGGCAGCTTCCCACGCGATAAAGACTGAGGATAGCCTCACAATGCTTAATTCCTTGTGCCACCAGGGAGGCCCAGTTTATGCTTTTAGATGGAACAGTTGGGAGGAGGTTTTGGAGTTGAGGAAATCTGTATACCTATTCCCGTTTCCC